CACACAGGAAAGATGTGCTGGGCTGGGTCATCCCGTGGATGTGTTCACAGACCTGGGGAAGGTAACATACGTCCTCTTCCCTCTGCTACAAGTTGTGGGGTGGGATGGATTGCTTCCTTGTCTGAGCCCCATGATCTGCATGCTGGTTTTCTGGTTTAAGACCTGCAGGATATGCAAAGTGCTGGCAACTTGATTTACTGTTCCCTTGCACCCAGATACAGTTATTTGCCCTGCACAAAGCAGGCATAACATCTTGTAAAGTTGGGCATTTCATCGTGGGCTACATGCAAAGCCATGGGAGATGCTTGTTTACATGACAAAGCTGTGAAGAATCAAGCTTCAAATGAGGAATGGATGCTAAAGAGAGATCAGTGATGCCTGCCTGTTTTATGCAAACAAAAGCTCTTTTGTCCTAAGGTGATATTCTTCCACCATAGCCTTAAAGTAGGCATGATTGTCATTTAAGTAATTTTTACACTAGCAGAACAATTAATGTAAAAATGACTCAGCCCCATCAGGAGCAGCCTTTGTACACTACACAAAATGTCACAAGATTTTCAGATGGGTAAAGTTTGGTATGACTGGTGTAGAGAAGCTTTTATTAACTTGAAATCTAAAAGATAGTAAATTCTTGGTTGGTTTGTGGTTTGTTTGGGTTTTTTTTAAATTTCCATTAGAATATTTTATCTCTGTGTAAAGTCAGCTAAATGTGTTGAAAATCATTTAGAAGTGTTGTTTTTTTCATGACATGATAGATGATATGCACATTAGGTAATTGAAATCACGCACGCTCCAGGAAGATAAAACCTCACCTTTCACATTTGTGGTGAGGCAGGATTGAACCTGCCTAAAACTATTTTGTGTAGAGGGAGAATAAAGGAGGAAATGAATTATAGTTTTATTTGAGTTGAAGGATTAGTTGTGGGATAATAGCAAACAACGAAACAACTTGGGAACAACACTGCCATCTCTTAAACAGTTTTATTAGCTTATGCTGATTTGTGAATTAGGAAAACCAAATTGTGTCATGCAAGAGAACAATTAAAGACCTGCAGGAAAGGACTAGTAAAACAGTAATCTCTCACTGCCTGATCTTCAAAGCAAGATGGAGAGCATGACCTTTCCTTGGAATAAATGCAGGATATTGCACACAGCCAGCTTCTGGTTTTCAGTTTTTGCCAGTTTGCAGTTGCTCACTTGTACTATGGTCCTTATTTGTTGATTGCCCTGGGGTCCAATTTTAGTCTCTAAATACTCCCAAGAAGTACTTTGATGTTCGTTGACTTGGGGTCTGCTCATGTCTCAATTACGCTTCTAATCTGTCAACGCGATGTCCTTTTTAGCACTCAGAGACAGGGCTATGCTGTGATATTTGAGTAACCATAATGCTGTGGGACCATGAAAAACAGCTTCCTTGGTAACGCTTCCCATTTATAGCAGAGATGTGATCGGTAACCGTGTATGTGATAATGATTTGTTGATCATGTTGAAACTTCAGTTGCAAAGCCTGGTTAAAACCTAATTGTACTGCAAACCAGCCTTCCCTGATGGTCCCTGCAAGTTATGACTGTTTTACATGTTCCAAGAAGGGCATGTCATCACAGCCCATCAGATCTGCATAGCAAAAAGATCGTCCCAATTAGGGACCGAGTGCTCTGCTCTTCAGTTAGGGATTGTGCTTCAAGAAGCAGCATATCTCCCAGTGCATCCTGAGTTTTGTACCATGTCATCTTTAAATCTTAAGCATAAAAATGCCTGGGAACATTTGCAGGCAGACATGCCTTGCCCCTCGCAGAATGAAGTGCTTATGGGTAAGGTCAAGTGAGCAAGTTGTAGCAGATTAAACTAGCTTGTGAATTTATAGCGCGTCTGCTCCATACTAACTGGCTGTGTGCATAGTACAAAGGCACCCTGTGGTAAATACAAGATCTCTTGCCCTTTTTTTTTTGCCTGAGGTGTAGGCTACCTTGCTTCATATCATCTTTCCTGTGAAATCAGAGTGCATGGATAAGGGTATCTGCCACAGAGCTCCACCACTGCACTGTATCGCACAGGTGCTCCTTGTGACCTGTTCCTGTGTCCACGTGCTCGCAGGGGTCTGCAAGACAAATTCCAGCCTGACAGCAAGACAACTGCAAAGCTAACAAGCAGTGCTTGCTCCTGTTTCAGTGATCAAAGCCCTGCTCCAGGCAGTGGGCACCTTGTTTAACTTGAACTGAATCAAAATCCAAATCTTGCTTGCTGAATGTGGATAGTGGAAGGACTTTCACTAAGTGTGGTGGTGTTAGCCCAATGTTACATGCAGCTGACTCTCCAGGGAGGCTCACAGGAGTCTGTACAAGAGGCAGCTTGCAAGCAGTAAACTTCTCTGCTCTAAAAATAATTGGAAGCCATCTATTTTGACAGAAATGCTAAATATTTTTCTCATCGTCCTTTGGACTCCATTTCCAGGTTCCCCTGAATGTTGAATGACAAAAGAAGATTGAAAAATGCAATTTTTGGTGATTTTTGGGTTACCAAATCATTTGGGGGAAAAACCCCAGAAATAATTTTGAAAATGCTGAAATGTTTCGTTTTAACACTTAAGAGGCAAAATGGTTTGAGTATTTTGAGCTTGAGAGGAGTTTTCTCAAATTGTGAGATTCACATGATTTAAAGAAAAAATAAGTGGCTTGGAAATAAATTAGTTTGGGTTTAAGCAAAATTTCAAGGGTTTTCTTAAAAATAGATTTGGATTATTTTTCTCTCTTTGGTCTGCTTTCTGAAATTAAAAATCTTGTGAGAGCATGTCTGATGGTATGCTTCACTGTCAGGTAAGCAACGGAGTCCCTTTTTAGTGGAGGATAAAAGCTGTTGACCAAAGTCCTGGAAGTGTAGCCAGGGCCTGCATATCTGAAGACTGTTGAGCTCTCAGTGTCTCTGTCATACAGGAGCTGTACTTCCAGCTCAGAGTTTCTTAAATTGGGAAGTTTTTTGTAACAGGTATCTTGCATTGCTACAGTCCATCAGGAAGAGGACAGAGATACATATAACTGAGACTAGTGGTCATCATCATCATCATCATCATCATTGCCAGGTGCCTTGCAGAATCCTGTCCAGCTGCATACTGGTTTATGGACACTGCTCCATGAGGGCTTAGCCTTAGCCAGTAAGTCCTGGAGTGGTCTTACACCAAAGCTGGATCAGCTGGGCAGATACTGTTTTGTGTATTGGAAGGTTTTGTTGTTGTTGCTTTGTATGCTCGGCTAAAACAGACTGTCTCAGGGGTGTAAACTCTTTCTGAATAGCAACGGTTTTATCATTGCATTGCCTGCCCTCTGCTCTTCACTCATGAACTGTGCTTGTCCATCTGTCTGACTTGTTTCCTGCCTTCATGTAGGGTGAGATTCATCTACATTCATCTGTGGCCATCTGATCTGAGCTCAGTGTCTAGACTCACTTTATGAAGAGAACCAGACCTTTCTAGAGAGTGATTCATTCTGTCCTAAAGCAGATGCTTAAGATAGGTCAAATTAATAATTTTCTAGATTGCCTAGTTTCCACCACTGAAAGTGAAGTGAGCTTGCATTGTCTAAGGTGTAGACTTTTGTCCTGCGCATGTTTTTGGTTCAAGGATGTGGATTCCACCATAACACTGATAGGGTGGGATCCATCTGCATGAATCCTGATATTACAGGAATTGCTTGAGGAGCCTTACGTCAAGCAGATAGAAAAGGTTTGTGGCTCAAAGTGAACCTAAGAATTTAAGAAGCTCAAGTAGACCATGGAAACTTGGCCTGTGGAAATAGGCACTTTATTTTAAGTATTCTGTGTGGCTATCACATAAGAATGAAGCCCAGCAGTTTTCCTAGACCACATTAGAAAGGCTGAGGATGGTCTCATACCTTGTATAGTAGGTAAAACAAATTAAGAGTTGGTCCACAAAGAAGTTTTGACAAAAAGTATGTGTGAAAGAACCACACAATATTAAAAATCTCAGATATGAAAAGTACTTCCTACCAAGGAGCAGTAAGTGTGTGTGTGTGTGTGTGTGTGTGTGTGTGTGTGTGTGTGTGTATTTTTGGTTTCACCACTCCTCTGTTGAAATATTACAGATAACCACAGAAATGGATAGGTGTTTGCATCCCTTTAGAGGAGTTCATTGAGAACAAAAATCTTCCTGTATGGATCTCTCTGCACACCATAGACTTTGTTTGCAGACACTTTTCTAAAGAGCAACTCCAAGTAGTTTTTTCTTCATCTTGTTACAGCAACAGAAGTATCTAAGAATTATTTTAAATATGTATCTGCTTCAGCAGCTCTGAATGGGGTTTTAATTTTTGGTAATAAGAAGTACAGTGCAAATGACTCTTCCTATTCTAGATCAGTGTTTGTCATGCATTCACTCTACTGGAATCTCCATCCTGAGAGTTCATTAAAGATGCATTGGCTTCAAGGAGATGTAGGAATCAATTGTTAATTTGCTAAACAGCTCTATGGATTTTCCTGGTTTTATCCCTTACTTGGTTTTGATTTTCTTTTTCAGCTCTATCTTACTTTATTTGCAAGAGGAAAGCCTTTGAGGACCTGTGAGGAGTCTGGCAGTTTCTGAAAAATCTTCATGCTAAAGGATAATCCAGAATTCCCCGAAGAAGAACACAGTGAATGTTGTGAGTTCCTAGTATTGATAACAAATACGCTGGATTGTGTCTTTTGAGAGGTGATATCTGCCCTGTAGCATTTTCTCACTCTGTCATGATGCACTGGGATCTTTTTGTTCTACTGAAACCAAAGGCAGGTGTGTTTGGGTTGGGCTGCAAAGGCAGACTTGAGTTTCTCTCCCTCTTGCTTTTTTTTCCCTTTCTTTTAATGTGTTCAAGGGCAGAGTAGTATTGTCTAAGGAAAGAAGCTGGGTTGCTTTTCCTTGGACTGCTACAGTTATTGAACACATTGCTATCACTTTTTAGTTAAATATGTAAGTCTACATTAGAAGGCCATGTGATTAACAAGAGCAGAAAGCATTATGGATAACAGTTCAGCAATCTGCAGGTCAGATTCAGGTACTTGCTTGTACAATGCTTGAAATTATTTGGCCGCTTTCAAATTAGAGGAATGCAAATGTGGTTATTTGTGCCTGGTATTCCAAACTCCTATTAATCAGTTTGTTATATTAGTTTGAGTATTTTTAATACAAGTGCTCTTCTCAGAGGTTTGTGTTCATGGGAATTGGAGTAGCACACCTTTCAGAAGGAAACACAGTTACTCAACTAAGTCCTTGATCCAGCTGTGATATTTAGAAAAAGAAAATGTTCCCATGAGGGATGGCTAAAGAGAAGGCATAAATATTTTTATGTTCATTGTTTTTCTCATGAAGCCCACTGCTTTTCTGTGTTGAAATGGGCAAACATGCAGATCAAATGTAAACATCCTCACAAAATGAGGAAAACGAGAATTCTCTGCCTGCCAGGTTTTAGAATAATCTTTATTTTTGACTTAAGAAAGAACCATGGGAATTTCAAAGTTAGGTAAGTTAACATTTAAATTCTTATGCCCAAAGTATACAGTGGTCCTTCAAGATGTTTCAGTGATAAAACAAACTGCCTATTCACTTTGGGCAAATTATTTTTGCACTTTTCCATAAATGTAGCAAATATAAATATATTTTCTGACTGTTGAGCATGCCTTCTAGCTCCCTGAAAGCTGGTTGCCTTCCTTTGCTCTACTTTTCCCTTTAGGTTCAGGCTTTGGGAAGCATATTGAGACAGAGTTTAAGTGGTGCTGCTTTCCAAGAGCCACTTGTAAAATAACTACTGGGGAAGACACTGAAAATTTTTCAGCATCTCTTGCCTTTCCCGCGTGCTTTGATCTACAGTGAAATAGTTAACAAAGCTGACATTTGGAATTGTTACTCAGTCGTACCACTAAGCTGCCAAGTTAGTAACTCATTAAGATGAACAAGGGGCCTCTGAGACCTGGAGCTTCTCACTGTCTATGTATCCAAGCAGACATGGCTGTATCAGCTTATTCCCACACTTTGAAAGACTCCTTCGAAACCACAAGAGCTTACTTAGCATGCTGGCATCCTAGAACAGAAGGGGATAGCCTTAAATAATAATAATAATAATAGTAATAGTAATAAAAAACTGTCCTAGCATGCAGAATTGTTGGGATAACAGGAGATGTTTGTTCAAGATGTTGCAATCACCTCCACTGATTGCAACAGCAGCACCGCCTCATGTGGAGAAGTGCATTCCCCAGGTCCTGTAAGGTATGTGATGTGCCAGATCAGCCAGATAAACTGCATGAGAGAAGCAGGCAATCATCAGCCATTACAGGGGATAGAATATCTGTTGCAGATGCTGTCAGTGTGATCATTACATTCTGCTCTGTCCTAAACGGTTTAAAATGAACCCACTTAAAGTGCAGCGTGATGTTCTGCTATTGTGGTGCCAAACCCCTGAATTACACTCATGAAGCCTGGGTTTGTGCAGAAAAAGCAGCATTCTTCTCACCAGGTATGAATGGGCAAAAGTGTTCTTGAGAATGGCTCTTATCTTGGCATCCAGGATTAGTTCCTTTTGGGAAGTCTTTTGTAGATGGTGGAGAGTTTTACAGAAGTTCCTTGAGAGTATATTTTGTTACCTGGCTTCTGCTTGGAGGACACTACTGCGAGGAGGTGGTAGTTGGCCAGGCTCCTCCTCTCCCCTCTTCTCTTTCCTTTTTCATCTTGGGGAGACAGGAATATCAGAGATGACGAGGGATGGTGTTTCTCCTGAAAGGAAATGTCGGCATCCAGTGATTTTACTGAAAAGTACTGTTCTGTTTTCCTTGTTTGCAGGGTGTTGTCATGTTAAGATGTGCGGAAAGCAGTCAAACCTTTCCACTGCGAGCAGTAGTTGTTGTCTTCCCTTCTGTTGCCTCCTCCTGCCACCCAGGCAAATTTCAGAGCAAGGGGGATGTGAAGAGGGAGGGGTGCAGTAAATCGGGACCAGTGTCTTGTATCCACCTAGAAACTGCCTGTTTACTAAACAGTACAAATTCTTGCTTCCTTTTTCCTACTCTCTTCATTTGGATAAAGCACATTTCTGGAATAGCAGAGCTTGTACAAATCAAATCCATATTCCACTTCTGCAGAGAGAAAAAGAGATGTCAGGAGGGTTCGTTAAGGAGGAACGTTTATTTCACTTAGCAAAGGGTAAAACCAAAGTGAGGTGAGGCTTCTGTGCTCTCAGAGGAGGGTACCTTGCAAATTCCAGCATACGGTCTTGTAATTTTCTGGTAGGATTTAAGTATCCTGAGGGTTTTTTCCATCCTGAAAACACATGCCACGGCTTTTTTGGAGTGCTAGCCGCACAAGCACAAACACATTCTAACAGGAGCAATGAATAAACTCTTCGTGTTCCTCACTTGCAGGCATTTCTTCACATGATTTTTTTTTTTTTTCACTTATGTGAAAACCTCTGGCATGGTTTGTGGGAAATGGAAAATAAATCTCTAAATGCAGTATGTGTCAATAACAGAAACATGTTTAGTTGATCTCATATCTATAACTGTTATCTTGGGCAAACTGCAGATGGTAGGATAGTAAACATAGACGTTTCTCTCTCGGACAGGCTTTTCATGACCCATCTTCAGTGGGAGCCTGCTGCTGTAAGGGCTGACCCCAAAGAGGGTTTTAGAGGCTGCGGCTGCATATGGCTTAGTCCCAGTTCCATCCCATTTTTTGAGCTGCTACCTCCTTTCTCCACTTCTTGGCCCTCCTTGTTCCGTTTACCCTGATCCTATCTTGTCCGTACTCCCTCTCTGGCTGCCGGCTGTTTTTCCTGGCACGTGGGACCTGTGGCGGGTCTGGGAGTGACAGCTCCTGGACCTGATGTCAGTGCTGTTTCCTGAGCCGCCTGGCCATGCTGGCGGCAGCCCAGGCACGCCCTCTCCCCAGAGCATCACCCTCTCTGCCTGCCCACACTGCCGCTGCGGCAGGCCCCCGGGGGGGGCCCCTCGGGGAGGAGGCACATACAAGTGGTGAAAATTGAAGGTTAGGGAGCCTTTTACAGAGGTTTTCTGTGATCTCCCACGCCTTGAGCCTCAATACTGGATTTGCGGCGTGGTTGGAAGTGATGCCTGGTGTCTGTTCTGAGCTGTACACACCTTGGAAGAATGACGAGAAGCTTTGACACATGCAGACTTAATGTTTCTCATTGTCTTTGCTTTTGTGTTTTTTTGGTATCCGTATGCTAAACCACTTCGTGGTTTTCTGTGGAAATTACCAGGCTGCTGACAAAAGAGCGAAGCTGCGTGTGTCCGTTCTTCCAAACAACTGCCCAGAACATGCCACTCGGTATTTATAGTGAGAGGGGGAAAAGGGAAGAATCACTTCAATTTGAGAAATGTCTCTCAGAAACGGCAGTAATTTATTCCCAGGCATTATTCTTGATTAAGAGCTACAGACAGCTGCAGCTTCCCTTTAAATAGAAATTGCTCTCTGCAGGCATGCTATACATAGGGCTTCAGGTTTCTGCCATTTCTCTGCCAAAAAATCAGGAGTATTTCTCACCAAATAAATGTTTATTCAGAAAGTCGTATTTCCTGGCTTTTATTTCACGTCACGGGCTTCCGCCAGCCAGGCAAGAACGGCTCAAGGCTGACATTTGGGAGAGGAAGCTGAAACAGTTTGAGTCTCTTGCAGGGTTTCAAAATAATGTCTCTGACCGTAACTCTGGGCCTTCAGTTTGTCAGTTTATTTCAACTGATGAGCACTGGATTAAAATGGATGTTGCAGAAATACAGCAGAGCGACTGTGTCTGTGCAGATGTGAAGTGGGTGGTAGTAGGCGTTTCTGCGCACCAGGTGGGCTCACCCCCTCTCCTGGCCTCGGAGCCACCATCCTCAGACTGCACGAGCAGCAAACTTTGCCTTGACAGCATGCAGCAGCTGAGCTGTTTTGGCAGTGGGGGTTGCCCCATACAGTCAGTGTATGGGCACCTAGGAACAGCGGGTGAGAGCTGGTCTGTGCCTGCTTGCACTTGCCACGCAGCAGAGAAGTGGCCATGGTGGCTTCAAGTCCTGCAGAAGGATGTGCTGTGATGAAGCTGTAAGCCACTAGCACTCAGGGAATGCTGCAGGGCCAAATGCCTGTTTATTCACATCTGTGCAGCTTCCTTGGATTTACCTCTCTGTTCTCCATATTCCTCTTGGCTGGTTCCTCAGCTCATGACTTCGCAACCTGTTCTTTTCCCACCATCTTTTCCAGCCTGAACTGCTGAGCTTTCTCCTTTGTTTCCAGGGCTTATCTGCTGTACCTGTACTTTCCATTTAGTGTGCCAGCCCCTGCCACTCCAGTAGATGATGTTGCTGTCATAGCAGCCCCAGTTGGTTGTCATTGTCATCTGTGGTGGTCATGTCAATACAGGATGCTTTCCTCCTCCACTTCTCCCAGCTCTCCTAAGTTTATTGCTTACAAGTATGCAATCCGTGTATTAAAGTAATTTTTTGTTAGGTCATTCATTACTCTCTTGCTTTCTTCTTGGCCAGTGTAGCTTCCAGAGAACTGAGAAGTTGTAATTTCTCAAGGGCTAAAATCCAAATCTTTGATAGGCAGGCATGATGCCTGCGGCCACTACATGTTGCTACCGGTTGTCAGCTTTGTTAAACTTACCCTGCAGAGCAAAGA